TTTGTTCCTGAGTAGTCTTATTCCATCTAATTCCATTTTATGTTTGGCTTTAGTCAATGATTTCAGGCTAAATGCAATCAAATGGCTGAAAATAAAACAAGTTGTTAAATGAAATGCTCTATTGTCTGATAATACATGGGTTCTCCTTGTTGGCTAATGCTTATTCTGTATTGATCTTGATTCTAGTTTAGGTGCTATATGTGTATTATAGCCAAAGGAAGAAAAAGGGGGCACTTTTTGTACACCACTCTTTTTTTTCATTTAAGTCTTTGCTGTTTTTTGTTAAGTTAGATATGATTATGTAGTCTACCATACAATTTCTAGTTATTCTTTACTAGGATCACATGTAAATATTGTGATTGCAAAACACTACATAATAGTAAAATTATGGTAATATCACTGCTCTTGTGTTACCATATGGCTGTCTTGCAAATAACTCTTCAAAAGTAATTGACTTTCAAAATATTCTCTTCAATTATTTTGCTTTGGTTCTAGTATTCTTTGCCAATTCTACCTTCTTATCTTACTCTCCGTATCATTAAACTGAGAGAGTACATCTCTGAAACGAATATATTCATAGTCTCACGGGAAAGATATCTGAGAAAATCAAGCTCAAAAGGAAAACAAAACAGAGCAAAGTGTAGAACAATGTTGGGCTCATTGCCTAATTTATTTTTGGCCCTGATGATCTGGCCCAGCACTTGCTTGTTATGAGAGATGACTCTAAGTTACTCTGTGCTAATGGAATTTATTATGAGGAAAGGAATAATTTACAAGTCATGGCTTCAACTTACAATTGCAGACTTTATGTCCATATAAATCATTTGCTATGTTCATATAGTCAGTCATAAAAAATTCAGAAGGTGACCGTGCTGTTTTGGATTGTCCTAGGCTTCCTTCGCTAGCTTCTTAGATTTCTCAAAGTATGAAGTTTAATTTGGGGATTCTCTGCAAACTTCAGAAGCCTATTAAAGAAAGATAAGGAAATACCAAAGTGTCCCATCAGCTCAACTTCAGTAATCTCTTGAAGATTTACTCTCTGACTAAACCCCAGTCTTCTTATCAAAATATTTATTTATTACTGATAACACACAAAAAGGCTTTATATAGGATTTACATGAATGAACAAGCTCCCTCAGTTTTGTAATATCCACTTAAGATGGTTGATTTGAAACCATTTTGTTTGTACAATTTTATTACCTAAATTTCTATGATGAACTACCAAGAACTAATACTCTTTGAAAGACTTAACATGGATGACTTTGATATATGATTAAAAAACAGTCTTATTTGTAGGCTTTATAAACCATGACAATCTGAAAGAGAAATTAAAATATGAAAAGGAAATGCTCCCAACCCACAATATGCTCCCTGTTAGCATCCTTCCTAGTTCTGTGGTCTGCACTGTACAAAAGAACAGAAAAGCTAGAGCTGATTTATAGGAGAGCCTAAAATGAACAAAGAGCTGAAAAGTTAGTTTTTTGAGACTTAGAAGAAATGTTCCAGAAACTAAAATATTTTAACTTGGAGTAAAAAGATTACAAAATCGGGGCCAGCCTGGTGGCACAAATGGTTAAGTGCGCGCGCTCCACTTCAGCAGCCCGGGGTTCGCAGGTTCGGATCCCGGGAGCGCACCGACGCACCGCTTGGTAAGCCATACTGTGGTAGTGTCTCATATAAAGTAGAGGAAGATGGGCACAGATGTTAGCCCAGGGCCACTCTTCCTCAAGAAAAAAAGGGAGGATTGGCATCAGATGTTAGCTCAGGGCTGGTCCTCCTCACCAAAAAAAAAAGATTACAAAATCAATAACAATAATAGCAGCTTGCATTTATTAAACACTTGCCATTTTCACAGTTACTCTATAAGATAGACACTATTATTACATCCATTTTACAGATGGGAAAACTGAGGCTTGGGGGAAATTAACTTGTCCAAGGTCATATAAGTAGTAAGTGATGGAGGTAGACATTGAATCATAGAAATCTGACTCTAGAGCCAGCTCTTTAACATGACAGTCACCATAAAGCATATATTATTCATACAGTTTGAATAGTTATTTGAATTACCATAGAGTCATTAAGATATTCTTATCAAGAAAGGTGAGCTTGAATCTATTCAAGTTTTTAGAGCTAACATTATTTACAGAAAGTAAGGGTAGTGGAAGAGGAACAAGTTAAATAATATCACAGGGAAACAAACATGAAAATCCAGACCATGACACACAGCCCAGGATCACTGACCTGTTTCTGCAACAAGCCAATGGCATGCAAAAAATAAACAAATAAACAAAAACCAATGGAGCCTTTGCTAGGATCTTACTTCTCCAAGTGTGGTCCTTTCTGAGTCCAGCAACACTGGCACCACCTGGGAGATTGTTAGACATGTAATATCTCAGGTCCTTCCCCAGACCCCACTGAATCATAAGATCCTTAAGTGATTCATTTGCACGTTGGAGTTTGAGAAGCACTGGTCTAGATGACTAGAGACTTAACTAATTGTAATATGTAGACCTTCTTTGGATCATGATTCAACAAGCCAACAGCAAAAAGACATTTTTACCATTGGGGAGATTGGGCATGGACTAGGTCTTGGATTCTACAAAGGAATGAGTGCTAATTTCATTAGACGTGATAATGGCACCTAAAGATTAATGATGAATGTCCAAATCTTTTAAAATTTAGACATGTATACTGAAGCATGCAGGGGGGAAATAATATGTCTGAAATTTGCTTTAAAATGTTTTGGCAACAAAAATAGCAATAAGTCATACAAATGTGGCAAAATCTTGAAAATTGTTGCATCTGTAGGGTAGGTCATTCTAATCGTCTATCTACTTTTGAATATCTTAGAATTTTTCATAAAATTTTTTTTAAAATACCAAAAGAAATGGACTTATGCCCTAGAAATTTTAGAAATAACTAAAAGAAACAACTTTCTCATAGTAAGAAGGGTTAATCATTTAACAGGATGCCAGAGAATCTTTCTCTAACGGATTTTAAAAATTGGACAAATTCATTGGTCTGGGTGTAATTTTAGGTATAGTCCTGGTAAAAGCCAGAAGACTGAAAAAATCTGTCAAGCTCCCTTTCTCAAAAATGATTCTATGGTAGATGTTATACTTTGCCAATACTTTGGGTCATTGATCTTAGATTTAAAGCCTTAGTTGTGTTTAAAAAAACAAAGCAAAGGCAGTGAAGATGCCTGTGTCCCGGCCCTGTATTTCCTCTCCTCCTGGCCTACTTCCCTGGCAGTTCACTTGAGTGGTTGACTGAGGGAATGCTGAGCTACATACTCATCCCAATCAAGCATCTACTAGAGAGTCCTGCACTGATCACATTCTGTTACGAGTCGATGCTTGTAAATGCAGACTAAGGCCTTTTGATGTTTACGTGATCAAGAGGAAGCCCTTTAAGCTGGTGTGTATTTGTCATATAGAAAGGCATTCCTTTCAACGTCACATAAACCCTTAATGTACTTACCCACTGCAAAGCATATCATTTTTTGTTTCTGGAAAAGGGGGCAAAAGAGAATTCCACAAGCTATTAAAAAGGAAAACCACTTTTGCAGCTTATTAAGTGGCAGTATTTGGGGTAATATGTTTCCTATTGTCTGGCTCCTCCCTATAGAAACCTGAGAGTGGTTCTCAAAGACTAAATAATAAACTCAGCCAACATCCCCAGGGGTAGACATTATACTATTTACAGAAGAACAACCCCTGTCTGACTGGTTTAGTAGCTGCCTCCTGTTTACAGTGAGTCAGTGGATGAGGACGAATTTGCTTCCAGAAACCTTCCCATTTTAACCACAAGTAGTTTTTCCTATGTGGTACTATATTTTGGTCTGTTGGTTTGGATTTTATGGAATAATCTAGAGCATCTAAGATTTTCCTTTAGACAAATAAGTATTCGGAGGAATAAATGAGTAATAGAACAGTGGAGGTTTGGGTTCTGACCCTGAGTCAGAGTTGCTGACACTCAGGTGCTGCTCCTTACACTTCTCTAATTTAGGTTATGCCCCTGAGAGTCTCCCTATTTATAGGAAGCCGCATTGTTAGACGTGTGTGATTTTCAATTTTGTAGACACTTGTTTTCTCTCCTTCTTCCTTATTCTTCCTACTAGATGCTCAGTCACATAATCTCTGTTCCCTCCACAAGAGCAGCCTCTGCATAAAATTCTCTTTATTGCTCGTTAGCCCTCAGTCAGTACAAACAAAACCTGGCAGTTAGTCTAATCGTGATCTTTTGGCATTCTGCAAACGTGTTTCATACACCTGTCTACCCCTCTGCTTGTTTGTTCTGCTATAGCACAATATTATAATCCTTGGCTCAAGAATTGTAATTAGAATAATTTGTTGTGTTTCCTAACCTAAACTTGCTACTGTTAAAATTGTTTATTATTATAAAATATAACAATATTTCAAAAGATTTAAAATGCCTTTACTACTGTAGATGGATTTGAGAGGAAGCATGATGCAAAGTTTCATAGTCCAAAGAATTAATAAATATAGCAAAAATTTTATTTCCTTTTGCCATTTTAAAAGAAGATCATTATATCAAAAGAAAGAGCTTCAATGTGTGTGTGCGCGCATGTGTGTATATCTCAAATGGATTTTATCAGAGAAATAAGACAGTAAGGGAGTTTTAGGATGTTTAAGGATAATTTTCCTCCAAAAAATGTAAAATCAAGACAGATATAAAAATTAATACATTAAATATTTTATTTAACTCATTAATGAAGGAACTAGTAAGATGTTACAACCAGTTCAAAGGAGAATGCAAACAGCCATATTTATAGATCAGGATTACTGAAGTGAATGTGCAGATGGAGGCACATTCTTCCACTGCTGGTGAAGAAAGTCAATTCAAAGCCTATTGGGCAGAATTTGCATAGGCAAGAATGTCTTTGTTTACAGATGAGTTATTTTGCATTGCTATCAGCTTTTACAATTTATAGAGTTATAAATTAGCTTCCATAGACTCAAAATCAGATATTCCAGAAGAGTGTACTCTAGACACTGCATAGTTTTCCATTGAAGGACAGATTTTTTTTCCCTTACAGTACTGTATCCCTAACTGCATCACACCATCAGTGACACCCTACTATCAACAGAAAGAAGTCCAAACTCCTTAGGCCGACATTCACAATTTACCTTCAGCCTCTTTCCAACATGTTCTGTTATCCAGCCCAGCACCCTTAAACCCTCCTTTATTCAGCCAAAGTTAAACTACATATTTCCAAATTCCACTAGTCTTTCAAGTCCCTGGTAACTTGCCACTTCCTCCAAGAGGCCATTTTTGCTTTGTCTACTTTAACTAGGAATTACTATACCTCCCCTCGAAGCTCATCACATTTTTTTCTGTACTTTTCTTGTGTATATTGACCATCTGCTATAATCGACAGTAGTTCTCAAACTTGCGAATACATCAGAATCACCAGCAGGGCTGTTTAAAACACAGATTGCTGGGTTCCACCCATCCTCTGATTCAGTGGAGCTGAGGTTGAGCCTGAGAATTCGCATTCCTTACAAGATCCCAGATGATGCTGATGTTGTTGGTCTGAAGACAACACTTTGAGAGCCATCTGCCCAGAGGAACTATGTAAAAAACTGCAGATAAGATTATGACACATAGACTCAGCCCTTTAGGAATTCAGTCTACTGGAAGTGTCAAAAGCTGATTCCTCCAAATAGCGCTAAAATCACATTTTGGTAAGACAAAGCTGAGTTTTTGAGGTAAGGAGAATACTACGTCAACAGAGCCTTAGTAGTGCCTTGGTGGCGGGTAGTAGTAGTTGGGATATTTGAAATTTTCAAGTTTGATTTAAGGCAGATCTTTCAATGTAACAATTTGTTTAGGATTCAGTAAGGATCATGCTATGATAGTTTAGAATTGATAGAATAAGATGAGAATTTTGAGGCAAGCAGCTCAAAGAGTTCTGGTGTGTAAACTGTTGGTTAATGCTTCCTATCGAAAAGTTGATGTATCATTCAGGATGTTTCTGGAATGAACCAGAAGACAGTAAAGTCATACTAACGTAGACAGCTGTACTAATAGTTTCAGAGACAGACACATAAACAAATAATTAGTGTGGTAAGATAAGCATAATTGAGAGAGTCACAGAGCCCTATGGGAGCAAGTATATAAAATCTTATAACCTCCCTGCCATCTGCCACTGCCAGGAATTCCAAGATCGTGAATGTCCTACTTTGGTTTATCTTTGGTATATCATGGAAAAAGCATTATATTTATAAAGCCAATGTTCCTCCTTGTTTGTTTCTATTTCTTTCTCTCTTTATACTATTACCATCCCCAGGCCAGACATGCATACTTCCACATATATATCTTATAAGCAGTCAATATCAAATTTTGGAGGAGTGGAAAGAATTCATATTTATTAAGGACCTACTGTATGACACATACAATGCAAGTGTGTGTGTATATATATTTCAATTAACTGTATATTATATTTTTGTGATAATTATGATTATACCCTTGTTAGTGCAGTTAATCCTTATCAGGACCTTAAGGATAAGTGGGCCTCTGGATAGTGCTCTTTTTATATTATTCAAAACTCATGGACACTTCTTTTTGGGAGAGATAAGTAGTGAGTATGATGATTTTAAAGCACAGTAATCCTCTGTTTAAAAATAATAGAAATAAGTACATATTTTTGAAAGGCTGAATAGCAAGTGATCTTTACTTTGGGAAGAAACACAAGCTCTAACCTTTGGTGGCATAATATTGACACTATGTTACCTTGCAAATCAATTTTTAGAAACACACTAAAGTTAGTGTATTAAAGCTACATCTGAGACAGACAAATTAAATCTTTTGAAATTCAAATTCTGGCACATGATTCAATGTTTAAACTCAAATTCTTGAAGAAATAGTTAAAACTGTTTGCACCAAATACACCCTATGTTTGATCACAATACTTGAAAGAATATCCAGCATGCTTTTTACACATTCCAAAATCAAACTAGAAAATATGCATATTATAAACTAAATTTACTTAGTTTTATTCATGACAAGCTAATACGCATGTTCTATAAAATCAACAAGGTAGGGGCCAGCTTGGTGGTGTAGTGGTTAAGTTCATGTTCTCCACTTTGGCAGCCCAAGGTTTGTGGGTTTGGATCCTGAGCACAGACCTTCACACTCCTCACCAAGTCATGCTGTGGCGGCATCCCACATACAAAATAGAGGATGATTGGCACAGATGTTAGCTCAGGGCCAATCTTCCTTACCAAAAAAAAATCACTGAGGTAAAATTCATTTCAATATTCTTTTACTAAAGTTTTGAGAAAACATGGGCAAGGTAGTATAATTTAAGAAGTTATCCACTACTTGCCATCATGCTAATGGCATTCACAACATACAAATTTGCTAGCTAAAGAAGCATCATTCAATTAGCAATAAACTTTTGCACACAGCTATTTTCTCCTTTTGCCTTATGGGCTTTTATCATAGCTTTCTTTCAGCCCCAGATTTCTCTGTGCTAATTACAGCTAAGTCAAATTGGTACAAAGAGGACTTCAGAGAGTAGGCTGTCTTAATTGGGACTGCATAGATTTTGAAGCTATAAGTCCAAATGTGGGGCTGAAAACAGAAAGCATAGAAAGATATGTTAGGAAGTGGCAATAGCCTGCCCCACATCATCTCTGCAATGAGATGGAGAGGTATCAGGATCAAAAGAAGCATGCTCTCTCCATGCACAATATACTGAAATGCAAATGTAAGAGAAAATTAAATATTATTTTAGCTAGACACAAGATGAAGTAAGGCTTTCTGAAGACAGACTATAAAAGTTGCCAGAGGCATGATGTGGTTATGGGAATGCTTAATCATTTCTAACACTTAGTAGATCTGGGTTTCTCAATCTGGGCACTAGTGACATTTGAAGCTGGATAATTCTTTGTCATGGGGCTGTCCTCAGCATTGTAGAATCTTAAGCTGCATTCTTGGCCTCAACCATGCCAGTAGCACACCCTCAGTCTGGCTACCAAAAATACCTCCAGACATTGCTAAATATTTCCTGGGGGTAGGTTGCCAGATTTAGCAAGTAAAAATAGAGGACGCCTCAGTAAATTTGAATTTCTGATAATCAGCAAATAACTTTTGGGTATAAGGATGTTCCAAACAGCATTTGGTACAGACTTGTATTAAAACATTATTTGTTGTTTATCTGAAATTCAAATTTAACTGGGAGTCCTATATTTTATCTAGGAACCCTGCTGGGAGGCAAAATTGCCCATGATTGAAAACCCCTCTGCTGTAGGTACCAGTAAGTCAAGAGCAAACACCTGAGAGACTCTTGACTGACCTGATTCACAGTATTGCTTCCCTTAACCTCTCTGACCCCAGTAACCTTGTTTACAAAGAGGAGCTCATTAACCTCCCTCATGGTGTGGAAGTGAGAGCTAAAGGAAATAATGTATGAAAAATGCTTAGTATGATGCCTAGCATAGTAAACGATTGATATGTATTTTGTTATTACTATCTCATGATCCCTGACAAGATGATGTCATAATATTTACTGGTCTCTGGACTTAATTTTTACTAAGAGGAAAGACTATATTATGGAAACAACAGGAGCCCTGCAGTGATTCTCAATCTTGGCTGCACACTGAAGTCCTCTGGCGAGTGTCATCCCTAATGTCTGTATCCTAACTCGGAGTGAGTTGGATTTCATTGATCTGGAGTGTGGCCTAAGCAGTGGGATTTTCAAAAGCCCCACAAGAGTCCTAAAATGTGTAGCCAAGGCTGAGAACCACTCTGAGAGAAAAGTATTGGGTAATTGGTACTCCTTAATAATGAAGAGAGGGCGTGAGCTTAGCTTAATTACATCTGATTCTTGAGTTGTAGCAAAGTGGGTTGGGATCAAATTTAGAGAAAAGAGAGACATGATTTCATTCATTCATTCATTCATTCAACAAATATAATATCTGAGTGCCCACTCTGTGCCAGGCCATGTTCTAAGCAGTGAAGGGAGTCCCTGTCCTTGCTGAAGGCTAGTGGGGAGAAACACACAATAACAAATAAGATATTTTAATCTAATTTCAAAGACTAGAACTAAGGCCTACATGAGAGATGGTAGCATTCCAAAGAATCAAAGTCATGAATAATCTTAATAAAAAGCAAAATGGAGAGAAACCAGAATGACTTGACAAGATGTTCTCTGAGCTGAGCTCTTAGAAGAGATATAAGTAGGAAAGGCATATTACCAAGGACGAGTAAAAGGATAGCATAAAACTGTAAAGTGTCAGAATGGCCAAAACACACAGTGAGGTTTTAGAAACTCTGAAGAAACTAGCTAACTAGGATCGCTGTGTGAAAAGGGAAGTCCTAGAATAAAGGAGAAGAAGAAGGAAGTGTGAGGATCTTTTTTTGAGGAAGATGTGCGTTGTTTAACAGACTATTAAAAGGCAGAACAAGTGTAATGCCTATTTTTCTTCATTTTTCTTAATTAAGAATAAGCTATTAGAAAGTACAGACCAAAAACTGTGAAATGGAAATTTGTAGGCTAAGGTGGGTGAGGTTATAGTGAAAGACCACCCATATCCACTTGACATGAATTGTAACCTCTTGGTCCAGAAAACTGAGTTATCAGGATATTTTCATATGTGGCCACAGAACCTTTGGTAGTAATATCATAGGAATGATAGTGTATTTGTGAGAATTACACTCCCTTTTATAACAAACCAACCTCAAAATACATATAATGGCTTCAATACAATAGAAGTTTATCTTGTTCCACTCCAAAATTGGTGTTCCTGAGTGGTGGGTGGCTCTCCTATAAGTGTAATTTAGAGAGCCAGGTTCCTTCTATCTCATGGCTCTGCCATCTTTAATAAATGGCTTCTCAGGTCTCCATGCTTATCCGCTGCCAGGCTGTGGAAAGGAAAAGACAGACCATGGAGGGTCACCAATGGGATGCTCTTGTGGGCCAGGCCTGGAAGTAGCACACATCACTTTTGCAATCCTTCCATTGGCTAGAAGTCAGTCACTGGGGCACCCCGGGTTGAAAAGAAAGCTGGGAAATGCAGTGTGCCCAGGAAGAATAATAATCAGGTTTGGTGACAGCAAACAACTCTCTATCCGGATAATAGGAGATCCGCCATCAAATTGTAGTTAGATGAATAATTCAAATTTCAAAAAATGGGGTTGAAATAGAGTTGAAGGATATAGACACATAGGCTTGAAACCACTTGGGAGTGGGAGAGGAAAAACAGTGATCACTTGGAGTTTGTACCTCATCTTCTTCTGCATATTAGAAAGGCATTTAACAAACGCATGATATTGTTAATAAATAAGAACTGGGTGGTAGTATCATCTAGTAGATTCATACTTCTTCAGATAACTGTGTACAATGACTGGTAATCATTGTTAACCATGAAGGCAATCTCTTATACTGTGCCTTGTGACTCTCCTCGCCCATGTCTCATTAAATGTTTTTATGGACAACTTGAATAGAGACAAATTTGTGGCTGACTCAGTGAAAGAGATATTGAATGATACTGTCAATGAAAGAATCAAGAGTAGTTTCAAATGATCTCAGCAATCTAGAACATAGGTCAGCAGAATTTTTCTGAAAACAGCAAGGGAGTAAATATTTTAGGTTTTTGGGCCATAAGGGCTCTGTCACACCTCATTATCTCTGCTGTTGTAGCCCCAAAGCAGCCGTAGACAATACGTTAATGAACGGGTGTGGCTGTGTTCCAATAAAACTGAATTTACAAAAACAGGTGCCAGGCCAGATTTGATCCATGGGCCATACTTTGTTGAACTCTGATCCAGAAGTATAGGCTAAAGTCTGAAGGCAGTAAATCTAAATTTGTTGATTTAAGGCCAAAGAACAATAGGCCTAACACGATACATATGTGATATCCTTTCTAATCACAATAGAGCTATAAGTAGGCATTATTTGCTCTTATTTTATAGATAAGAAAGCTAAATCTCAAAAATAAATTGTTTGACCTAGCTTTCACATCTGGAAAACACTTTATGGGACATTATGCCACTTCAACAAATGTTTGGGTGAATCGAGAGAGTCACAATTAATTGCTCAAGTCAAAGATGGAGCACTTCATGTGGCAGCACTCCCTGTAGGAAAGCCCTGAGTTCTTCTGGCTCTATTCTTATCCAAGTGTGACCTTGAGAGACTTGACTTCTTTGGGCCTTGGCTAAAAAATCAATAAAAATAAGAGACTCAACTAAATAAACACCACGGCTGATATCAGGTCTAATGGGTTGCTATTAATATATTAAGGGCATCATGTGAAAGAGAATTGAGACTTATTCTTTGTAGCTCTAAAAGTAATTCTTTTCAAACTTTTTCTAATATAGTTTTACATAAAACCAATATATAAAACATAAAAATGGCATTTTATGAGCATACATGTGTTTTACAAGTTCAAATTTATAATATTTTCTGATTATAAAGACATATTGAGAGAATTAGGCTATGACTGAAACTAAAGTTTTAAACTGGGAGTGGTGGATAATTGATGGATTCTTTTTAGCATCGGCACTCAGCATTCTACTCATTGTGTTGGCTGTTTGCTTGCTTTTGGTTGTATAATGTCAAGAAAATCCTTATTCACATACATAGGTTAAATGATAAAAAGATTAATAGTTTTGCAATCTCAGAATACTCATCAGAATATAGAAATGGCAAGAGAGGCCTGAAAAACAAAATGCATTACTTGACAACATAAATCAGGTTCTTTAGTATATTAATTTGGCATATATGACAAAAATAAATGTAAACTAAGCATTTGCAAAACCCTCGTATCAGTCAAGGTAGGCTATATGCTATGGTGCCAAATGAACCTCAAACCTCGGTGGCTTGCTGTAATAAGTATTTATTTCTTGCTCATATTACATGTCCAACTCAGATTGAGATTGGGGGGAACGGCTCTGATCCACATAGCCAAAACTAGTCTCACGGCTCTGTTTCAGAAGTTAATGTGTGATTCACATGAACTAAATATGCAAAACCACTTCGAAGAACTATAAAGAAGCAGATCTCAAACACAGCTCATAATCGAAAAATACAGTTTTCTCAGCCCCACTCTACAACCCTGGAATCAGGATCTCTGGGGTATAGTTGGGAAATTTGCATTTTTAAAAATGTTCCACAGAAGATTCTCATTATCAACAGGGAGCTATTGCTGTGAACAAGGAGTGTTTTTAAAGTAGAGGAAAGGCGGGCCGGCCCTGTGGCTTAGCGGTTAAGTACACGCGCTCTGCTACTGGCAGCCCGGGTTCGGATCCCGGGCGCACACCGACGCACCGCTTCTCCGGCCATGCTGAGGCTGTGTCCCACATACAACAACTAGAAGGATGGTGCAACTATGACATACAACTATCTACTGGGGCTTTGGGGAAAAAAAAAAAGGAGGAGGATTGGCAATAGATGTTAGCTCAGAGCCGGTCTTCCTCAGCAAAAAGAAGAGGATTAGCATGGATATTAGCTCAGGGCTGATCTTCCTCACAAAAAAATAAAATAAGTAAAGTAGAGGAAAGGCATCAATTAGATCTGTGGATTTAAGATTACCCTGGTTGCAGTGTTGGAGACGGATTAAACAGGGGAGAAACTAGAACCTGGGGGATTTCATATCACACAACATATAGGGTTTACTGAGCAAACATAAGTGCATGTGCTTATATATTATGCAGTGTGTTAGCAGGACCAGCTCAATCCGAGAGCCCAACAATGTTGTTGTAAATTTCTCTGTATATTTAAGAATCTCCTCCCCATTCCTTCCTTCCTTGACTCCTAGGATACCACTAGGGTAGGCACAAAGTGGCTGCCAACCAGTCCTTGTTCACTTCATTCAATAAATGTTTTGCATGCCACTGCTGCTGATGGCGTTGGTTGTAGAGCCAGCTCAGCACCCACAGGAGTCCCGGGATAGGGAGTAGGGAGTGGGGTAGGTGGGTGTGGCCTGTTTCTCTCTTGAGAAGTAGCTGGAAGTGGTCATTCTTTCATGCCTGTTAGGGCAGCACAGACTCTGGTCATATTGCTGTGTCTGCTGCCTTCTGTGAAGACAGAGAGTTTTAGAGTAGATCTGCAGTGGGAGAAAATGACCAGTATATCATTCTTTTGAAAATTAAACTTATCTGCTTAGTGCTGGATCATTTAAGGACTGACCATCCAGGGTGGGTTTCTCTTCCTATATGCTGCCTGGAGTTTGACTGATTTACCTGGTATTATTAGCAATTCTTTCAAATGGTGTCTGGGATGGGGAAGTGGGGAGTCAGGGAACCCCCAGACACATTGGAAAGAGGAGTAGGTTCTCTTCCTTTCAAATATTATGCTCAGCACTTATCAGTTTGTTGCTCATGTACCATGGCTGAAACAAGTGGAATATTGATAAGAACTTGGCACTGCTGCCCAGCACTTTCTTAAGGAGAGATGGATGGACCTGTAAGCAGGTTCTCTTTTTATTGTCATGCTTCATTTTGTCTTGTATTGATAGAGCTCAGGGTTCAGCCCCACCCCCCACCCCAACAAGAGGAAAAAAGAAACAGAAACAAAACCACTTAATTACCAGCTATATATTGAAGCTGGAAACTGGCATTTTGGCATAAAAGTAATAACTAGCAACAGGCTTAGGATTCTCCAAAATTATTTTGCCCTTTTTTTCTTTTTTGCATTTATGTTTTTCTAATACCTTTTAAAAGAAATACAGAGCAAAGATAGGGAAATTATTTCTAATACATTCTAACATAAAAAATATAACTCCAAATATATAACTCCAAATATAACTCCAAAAATATAACTATTATATAACTTTAAAATATTTAATATTAATACCTATAATTAGTATATTAAAATAAAGAATTTGATATATTACACATCCAAATGTTTCACTTATCAGCTTTTTTTAGATTAAGAACATGAAATATCAAAATTCTACTCAGTAAACACAAATAAGAAGTTGCAGCAACACGTAAACCTAATATGGAATTAAGGGAGAAATGGAACAAGGGTGGAGAGAGAGAGTCCAGAAAGATAAAGAGACAGAGGGTAGACTGCTTCATGGCTATGCATGCAGTCCCATCTGTAGAAACACACACTCTATACCTGCACACAGAGTACAGGCAAAGAAAGAAACTTGCCATAGAAAGAGAATGTGCATGTTTGTCTTCATAGCATAACCCCCCTCTTTGGGAATTTTGATTGGCTATTGATCCTAAAGACTTTTAAAGCCTTGTTAGGTTTTCACAACTTTGAGCATAAATGGTAATATCTCTTGGCACTTGTTCAATGAGCTAAGTGAAACTGATCCAAAGTCAGAAGTTGACACATTCCAGGTATGGAATATTTGGGGCTGTAATTATATAACTGTAATAATAATCTTTGATAGGATATGAAAATAGTCCTGAAAAAATTCTATGGTAAGTTGATGTGAGTTATTGTGATCTAAGTTTCAATTATAAATCTCAATGATGCTATTCCTGGATCCTTGCTTGTCTTCATTACTTATATATATTATTTCTGACAAGTGTGGTAGTTAACACTTTTTAGACAGTTTTCAAATTGAGAAAAAGTTACTTGCTTTTAGTAGGGTTTGAAATGATTATATCCAGGGTTGGTAACTACTAGAGGGGAATTTATTTAAATTAATATTAAGCTCATTCCCATTCTATTGAAAGGCCATATTAAATCTTTATCATATACTCTTCAGCGCTTTGGTCATGGTTGTATCCAAACAACAACCTATACTCTTCCTCTCTGTGGTAGTTTTGAAACAGGTGAGAGGCCCATATGATAAAGAGTTTGAATGTTAGTGTAACCCTTTTAGTGGAGAAAGAAGCACTAAGGCATTGGATGAAGACAGGGTTATTGTCAAAGATAACTAATTTGGCTATATACCAAATTAGGCTTTAGGTTTACTGACAGAGCCAGAAGTACTAAGTGAATAATAGATTCATTCCTTTGTTTCTTAATACTTACAAAACTTCTCTGCTTAGTGTCAGTGCACTTTATTGATTCTATCACTGCTTCTGCTTATCACATCAGAAATTTGAGTGCTGACATTTCTATCCCATAAAAGAGTTGCCAGGTAGACATCACATGATTTCCATGAATTGACAAACTTGTCCTTGAAAAATGAAGGCAAGATAAAGACTTTCTGAAATAAACAAAAGCTGAGGGAGTTCATCACCACTGGAACTGCCTTATAAAAAATCTTAGGGCTGGCCCAGTGGTATAGTGGTTAAGTTCGCGTGCTCTGCTTCGGCGGCCCGGGGTTCACAGGTTCAGATCCTGGGCATGGACCTACGCACCGCTTATCAAGCCATGCTGTGGCAGGTGTCCCACATATAAAGTAGAGGAAGATGGGCACAGATGTTAGCCCAGGGCCAATCTTCCTCAGCAAAAAGAGGAGGATTGGCAATAGATGTTAGCTCAGGGCTAATCTTCCTCATGAAAAAAAAATGCTTAAAGGAGTTCTTCAAGCTGAAATGAAAGGATGCTAATTAGTAACACAGAAATATATGAAAATATAAAACACACTGGTAAAGGTAAGTATATAGCCAAATTCAGAATTCTCTAATACTGTAATGTGGTGGTGTGATTAACTCTTGTAAAAAGGTTAAAGGACAAACATATTAAAAATAACTATAGTTACAATAATTTGTTAATGGATACATAATATAAAAAGAGGTAGATTATGATATCAAAAACATAAACTGATGGGCGTAGTAAAAGGGTACAGTATATGCTATCGAAATTAAGGTATCAGCTTAAAGTAGACTGTTATGTTTTATGTAAAACTCATGGTAACTACAAAGCAAAAACCTACAGTAGATGCTCAAAAGATAAAAAGAAGGGAATCAAAGCATACCACTATCAAAAATCATCAATTTACAAAGGAAGAAAAAGAGGAAGAGGAAGGAAGGAAACAAAGAGGAAGAAAGGAACAAAGGAACTACATGACAGCCAGAAAACAATAAGATCGAATTAGTAACTCCTTACTTATCAAGTCCTTACCTACTACTTGATATGTAAATGGATTAAATTCTCCAATCAAAAGGCATAGAGTGGCTGAATGGATAAAAAATAACAAGACTCAGCTGCCCACAAGAGACTCACTTCAGCTTCAAGGACACACACAGGCTAAAAGTGAAAGGATGGAAAAGGATATTCCATGCAAATGAAAACCAAAAGAGATCAAGGGTCTGCTACACTTATAGCAGACAAAATAGACTTTAAGTCAAAAACTGTAACAAGAGACAAAGAAGGTCATTTTATAAATGATAAAGGTGTCGGTTCATCAAGAAAATATAACAATCATAAATATAGATAATATAGATGCACCCAACATTGGAGCACATACATATATTAAGAAAATACTAACAGATATTAAGGGAGAAATAGACAAATACATTAATAGTAGGGGACTTCAGTATCCCACTTTCAACAATGGAGGGATCAGCCAGATAGAAAATCAATTAGGAAACACTGGTTTTCAACTATACCTTAGACCAAATGGATCTAACAGACATATACAGAACATTCCATCTAAAAGCAGCAGAATACACATTCTTCTCAAGCACGCATGAAACATTCTCCAGGACAGATCATATGTTAGGTCACAAAACAAGTCGTAGCAAATTTTAAAAGGTTGAAATTATACGAAGTATCTTTCTCAACCGCAATGGTATGAAACTAGAAATCAATAGGAATAAAACTGGAATATTCACAAATATGTGGAAATTAACACACTCTAGAACCAAAGAGTCAAAGAAGAAATCAAAAGGGAAATCAAAAAGTTTCTTGAAACAAATGAAAATGGAAACACAACATACCAAACTTATTGGATAAAGCAAAATCAGTACTAAGAGAGAACTTTATAGTGATAAACTCCTACATTAAGAAAAAGAAAGATCTGAAATAAACAAGCTAAGTTTATAACTCAAGGAACTAGAAAAAGAAGAACAAACTTAGCCCATAGTTAGCAGAAGGAAGGAAGTAAAGATCAGAGCAGATAAATGAAATAAAGACCAGGAAAACAATAGAAAAGATCAATGAAATTAAGAGTTGGTTTTTTGAAAAGATAAACAAAATTGACAAACCTTTAGGTGGACTAAGAAAAAAAGAGAAGGACTCCAATAAATAAAATCAGAAATCAAAGAGGAGACATTACAACTGATAACACAAATATAAAAGTTCATAAGAGACAACTCTGAAC